GCTACGCCGGGCTGCCTCCGCGCCCCCGGGCCGGCGCCCCCGGCTATTTCTCTGCCAATGAGCACAGTGTCGTCAGCATGCCGCCAGTGGCTGACGTCAAGCACAGCTACACCTCGTGGGATCTTGAGGACATGGAGAAGTACCGCGTGCAGTCCATCCGGAGGGAGAGCCGCGCTCGGCAGAAGGTGAAAGGGCCCGTCGTGTCCCAGTACGACAACATGGCCCCGGCCGCGCAGGACGACCTCGGCGGGATCTATGTCATCCACCTGCGAAGTAAATCCGATCCTGGGAAAACTGGACTTCTCTCCGTGGCAGAAGGAAAGGAGGGGCGGCACGCAGTCAAGGCCGTCAGCCCCGAGGGAGAGGACCGCTTCTACCGGAAGCACGCGGAGCCGGAGCTGGACAGAGCCCACCAGCACGGAGCGTACGGCGGCGGGCAGCCCGAGAAGCCCTGCCTCCCGCAGAAGCAGAGCAGCCTCAGGAACAGGAAGCTTCACGACATGGGCTGTGGTCTCCCCGAGCACAGGGGCCACCAGGAAGCAAGCCATAGGCAGTTGTGTGAATCAAAACATGGGCCGCCTTACCCGCAGGGGGCCGGCCCGCTAGATTATGGGCCCCAGGGGATTCCAGACGCGTCTGAGCCAGTCAGCTACCATAACTCTGGAGGGATTTACGTTCCATCGGGGCAGGAATCTTTAAGACTGAACCACAAAGAGGTGAGGCTCTCCAAGGAGCTGGAGAGGCCTCGAGCTAGGCAGCCTCCTGCCCCAGAGAAACACTCCAGAGACGGCTACAAGGAGGAGGAACACCTCGCTCCGTCAGTCGTCCCACCCCCTAAACCAGAGCGGAGTCATAGCCTGAAACTCCACCACGCCCAGAGCGTGGAGAGGGACGCTGGCGTGCTGTACCAGTACCAGCCACACGGCAAGCGCCAGGGCGGCGTGACCGTGGTGCCCCAGTATGACAACCTGGAGGGCTACCACTCCCCGCCCCAGCTCCAGCGAGGGGGCTTCGGAGCGGCAGCGCTGGGGGTGTACGTGCCCCCCGGCTTTGCCCACCCGCAGAGCAGGACCTACGCCACGGCTCTGGGCCAGGGCGCCTTCCTGCCCGCAGAGCTGGCCCTGCAGCACCCCGAGACGCAGATCCACGCAGAGTGAGCCTGGGGGGCAACAGAGTTGAAGCAGCCTCTGCTGGACAGTGGACTGTTCTATTTTTTTCAGTAACCAAACATTTAAAAAAATTAAAAAAAAAGCTCCAAACCCCCTGACCACATTAAAAAATAATAAAAATAAAGCTTCTTTTCCCCCTTCCCTGCTTCATCACCACCTCTTCCATCTATAGACTCTGTCATTTTTTTTGTCATTTAAAAATCTGAACGATTGTAAGCACTGTGTTGAAAACCTAGTAAAGAGATTTGCTACAGGCTGTACTTGCCATATGGGGCTGATGTGTAAGAGCCCGAGGACTGCCTTGCACAAAATTTCAACTTGACTTTGTCCTTCTTAGTGTTTGCTGTATCCTTCAGAGCGGCTGACGTCCGCTTCCCCGAAGGTCTCTGTGTTTTCGGTTGCGGTCCTACTTGCTTTCTCAGTGGCCATGCGCCTGGCCCAGAGTGACACCCGCTCTTCTCACCTCGTTCCCCCGTGTGTTTAAGTTACAGTGGAGAAAACTCCTGATCCTTCAGATGAGTCTATCGAACATCTAGCAAATTATAACCAAAAAATTAAAGGAATTAAAACTTTGAGCATTTCATAAAGAGTCATCACAAGGTGACAGACTATTTAGATCCAGGCTGAATAGGCTCATATCACTGCAAAGGGATCTTTAAGTTAGAATTCAAGAAACTTCTTAGGTGGAAGTCAGTGCACTTCGTTAGCCCCAGAAAACTATCAGTGCTTCTGAGGTGTTGCCTGCCTTCAGTTCTTTTTCCCCTCAGTCATATTTGGTAAATTGTGATCCTAGTGAAATATTTCACACCATTTATTTTCTTAAAGCAACTTTTTTTTTCATTAAAAAAAAAAACCAGCATGGTTTGACTAGATAAACACATAATTTATCATGATTACAATTTACATGTTAGTTTGTTTCTGAACCAGAGTCCAGGTTTCCTGGAATTCTTAAAGTAGCTACAAATGATCTGTTAGAAAGCTGAGCGTTCCTGCAATAACCACTTAGCACAGCCCGTCTCACCCGCTGGAATTCTGCGCAGTGACCGTTCAGGTCCTAGGGATTAACGTGCTGTTGCTTCACTCTGCCCTCGTGCGATCACAGTCTTACTGTAATTGCCATCCACACCAGCATTTCAGGTACAGTTCTTAGAATGCTGCAGACATGGAAAACGTGTCTGATACCCAGGACTTTATTTTGAAAGTTGCATTCCATTTTCTCAGCCCACTGCACACGTCCTCCAGACTAGAAGGCAGTCCTGCATTTCCAGAATGAGTTGAGATTGTCATGTCATTCCATAAATCTTAATGATACTTGATTTTTATACACTCACATGTTGTAAGTACTCAGTTTGTAGAAGTTACTAGGAGAATTTCATTCCATTTACTGGATGGTTGCTGCTCTGGCTTTTTAAAACTTGGAATTTACTTTCATTTAGAGCAGAGAAAAATCTTTTAAGAGGCTAAATTCATGCTGCTAATACTGCTGTGAAATTGTATAAAGATTAAGATTCATGCCAGTTTTTTTTAATCTAAAAAGTCATGTGATTACATTTTAAGGGTTTATACTTAGAAAAAGAAATAAAAGTTTTAAGAACAACACATCTACTTATATGTGGAAATACTCTATAAGGTTTTCTTTTGTTCCCCCATGATTGATAAGAGAGACTGAATAAAAATATTGATAGAAACCCTGAAATACCAACATGGAGAAGGCCTGTGGGAATTTAGCCTCTAGATCAGACGCGCAGACCCACCTGGACCAGAGTCACAATGCTGGGGAGCCTGCCAGGACACTTCACCTCGCGCACACGCAGGGAGCCGCTTGCAGGAGTTTGCTGTTTGGTGAATACGCAGCACTAATTTCTTCTCTTACCATGACCGTCTTTTGGCCAGTAGGCACCCCATTGCCCCTCTGAGATAACACAAGCCCCGTAAGCTCTCACCAGCAGCACGGAGAGGAGAAAGGAGCTGGTGTGCCACGGAGATGCAGATGGCTTTAGGGACGGAGAGCCCTGAGGGATGTGGCCGAAGTCTGTCCGGTTTTAACCCTTGTGGATTTGTCATCACACCCCTTGTTTACTCCAGAAACTATAAAGTCTCTTTTAAAAATATGAATGTTAATTCCCTAAAGCAGTCACTTGGTTAATGTCCTGTGTTTAGAAATACCAGGTGAATATTTTGAATGCAGAAAAATGACTCAGATTCCTGGTACTAGTGTGAAACACAGACTTTAGGTAAAGTCTGGAACTGTTTCACTGAGTGTAGATACAGCCTCAGCTTCGGGTTCAATTTATTGGAAGAGCTGTGCCTCTGTCCGTCCCTTTCTAATGCTCTGGGCAGACGGGGGCTGTCAGGCCACTGTGAGCCGAGTAACCGTAGCACCGTCCACTTTGCGTGTGACTCCACAGAGGGAGTAACTGAGAGTCGTGACTCTGAAATTTTCACGTGGAGCATTACAGTCCAGGAAATGGAGCTGCCTTATGCAATGAACTCAGAATTTCATTCTACTGGTATTTTCGTAGCCATGTCTCCAGAGTTGATCTTTTTGGCAAAATTCTGATACCACAGTTTGGTTTGATAGAGATGAATATTTGCTGGATGTCTGGCCAGAGACTTTGCGGACAGCCCCAGAAGTGCCGTCTCCTTGCAGTAAGTTGTGTCCGAGCCTCATGGATAGCACGTATGTGCAGTTCCCTTCTAAGCACGCAAGTCCCTGAGGTTGGTCCCAAAGATAGGTAGGGCCTGCACGTTTTTATAATGGCAAAGCATTTTTTTTTAAATTAGGGTCAGGTTGAAATATTCTGGGACTAGTTCTGTACAAAAGAGGGACCCTTAATGTGAGTGGGGACAGAATATCATACCATATTCAAAGCAGCAATAGAGGCATACAATGTAAATTTGAAATTTGCCCCTTTAGTTAAAAAAGGAGCCTGCAAAGTTCATGTATCTGTTTCCAGCCCTGTCAGTCACCCGTTTGGTTTGCTGGCAAAGTGTCAT